CCATTCTTTTTTCTGTCGTGTATGTATGTCTTTCAGAATTGTTTTGCATCATTTAAGTTTCAACTGTGAGTGATTCTAACAACGATGAGAATATTATGTAAAACCGAATCACAAGGATTTATCTAAGGATTTAACTAACTAAACATGTTTTTAAATGTAAGAATCATGATTTTTTTCCTATTTCTAGTATCAAAGGTATTCTTAAATTAATTTTAACATTTTGTCCTCATTTTTCATTATACAGCATGACAGTAGATACACAAGTGAAATTTCTTTTTACTCCTTATACTCATTTCTCTTTGTCCCCCAAAGAGGCCTCCACCATTCATGATTTTGAGTACATCTTTGTAATCCATATGCTTACATCCTCTCTCTGTACACACACACACACACACACACACACACACACACACACACGTGTCAAATATATGGTGATGAAAGGAAATTTAACTTGGGGTGGTGAACACACAATGCAATATACATATGATATATTATTGAACTGTACACTTGAAACCTATATAATTTTATTAACCAATGTCACCCCAATAAATTTAATAAAAAATAGATAATAGTACTGTGTAGTAAAAACTCCCGTATAGTTTTTTAAAATTCCCATTATTGGGATTGTGTGATATATTTCTTATGTGCAATCTGCATTTTTCACTTTATATTTTGTTTTCGAGAACTACCCATGTTGGCATATAGGTATCTGGCTAATTCATTTTAACTGATGAATAATATTTAATCCATGTGTGTCATATATGATACGTAATCATATTACCGTATTTATGCATTTCCCTATTGCTGACCACTTCCGTGCTTTCCATTGCTTTGCTGCTGCGGACAAGGACGTGTAGGCATGAGAGTCCCATACGAGTCTCCTAGGTGCAGGTGCGTGGGTTCCCCTGGAGTCTCTACCCAGAAGCGGAACTGCAGGCTGATCGGGTATTGCATGTAAAACATTACCAGGTATTGCCTCGTAGCTCACCCAAGCATTTGACTAACTTATTCACGCATCTGCAATGTACGAGAATTCTTATTTTCCCATCTCCTCCCCAACACTGAGTATCGTCAGACTTTCTAAATGTTTTATACTCTAAATAGTATAAAAAGATATCCTGTGTCTAATACGCATTCCTTCAATTCCTAGTAGAGTTGAGTATCTTTTCATGTATTCAGTAGCCATACATTCTTGATTCCTCTGCTATGCCTCAGCTATACATGTATTTGTTGACTTCTATTAGATCTTCTCATCTCTGTCTTATTGATTTGTAGGAGTTATTTATACGTTCTGGAAACTAACCCTTTGTAAGTCATATGCATTGCAGATGTCTCCTCCCAGGATGTGGCTCGTATGTCCTCGGTTTATGGTGTTAATATTTTTGTTTTTATCACACAGAGGTTTATTTTCGATGCAGACAAATGTGAATAGAACAGAGTTCAGGATGTGTTCCCAATCCTGGCTCTACTACTTGCTGGCTGTGGCACTTCCAGCAAATTCTTTAATATCTTTTTACCTCGTTTTCATTATCTGTTAAATGGGAAAGTGTTACTTCTCCTAAATGTTTTGGCACGAATATTAACTATAAGTCAGTTAGAATATTGCCTGGTATAAAGTGAGAGCTATATAAGTGTTAGCTATTAAAATTAGTGCTTTTAATAGATTGTTTTTAAAACTGTGTCCTAGCATCCCTGGTTTTTGTACATATTAGAGATATGTTTAAAGTTTAAATATTACTTATAATAGTTTTCATTAGTTTTCTCACAATATTCGGATTGTGGAACTTATATATAGTTATGGTTAAATACACGTGGAGTGATATAAATTACATTTATATTTTTATTTAAGATTATTTCTGTTTCAAGAAATAGCATTTCAGTAGTGAAAGCCACTTTATTTCCTGATATTGAACATGCGTGTAGTCACAACAGCTTCAGAAATGGCTTTTCTATTATGTTAAATTGAATCGTACAATTGGGAAAAAGTTCAGCATGAATAATTCCTAAACACCTGAAAGAGAAGTGTCAGAGACACAGGCATAATCAATGTTTATTGAACGAATAAATAGTCTGTTTGCTTTTTAAAAAATCATCCACCTTACAGCAATTTTTAAGAGATGGAATCAAGTACATAAAATATGCAATTGCATAGAATCCCCTAACAGGCAGAGTAGAGTGTGCACTCAAAGGAAATGAAATCCAAACCAGGTTTCTCGTGGGACTTCAATTTTCTATGATCATTCATACTTTTAATGCATTTTAACTGCACTAAAGCAATCAGGAAACCATTTAAGTGATTAATGCTCTGTGTCTGCCCAAAAGGAAGGCACCTCTGCTTAGAGAGGATAGTTTCGTGTTCACTGCCAATGACATTTTTCTCAATTGCAATAAAAAAAGTTTCTTCCTGTCTGTCGCATCATAAAATAGGAACACTTTTGAAAGTAAAGTATGATATAACAGTAACAAAAAGTAAATATGTAATAGTATGGTGTGTCATCGTCCTGCACATGAAACCACCCGTCAGTGCAGGTGAGTGGATAAATCTCGAAGGAGGAGTGTAAGGTGTGGTTCCACCTGATTTGTGCCAGAGTGACCAGCTCTATAATATGGAAATGAAGATGGAGAAACAGGAAATGCATTATGAACTCAAATAATGGCACATTTCTGTGCCATTCAGTGTGACATTTACTCCAGGGAAACACCCGTCCAGTGTCAGTTTTAACACAGCAGTGTTTGCTTCTCACTCGTGCTTTGTCTTCTCTGGGTCGGCAGAACTCTGCCCTCCACGAGGTTATTCAGGGACCCACGTTGACAGAGGGCTTAGCACAGAATGAGAATGAAGACCGTAGGCCAGCCCTCTGTGCCTTGGGCAGGAGGTGGCATTTGTCCTTTCCTCTCACAGACTTTCACATGACTCTTTTCTGCGCAAGGGGGTGGGGGAATGTAGTCTTGGATGTGTCTGCAAGAGGAGGAGTGCGGGACTTCGATGGGCCTTGGGAGAAGCTTCCAGGGACTTGTTCACTCTATCACTTCAGGTGGGAAGTGACGTCAGTGTGTCTCCCTCCACGACTTCAGATTATGAGTCAGGACACATTCGTTTAAACCCCTGCCGAGCTCCTCGTGGTCTGTGCGGTCAAGTTAGTTAGTATCGGTAATCCTGTTACTCCCCATCTACCAGAAGAGATCTGTGGTTGTCGTGAAGGTCGCAGCATAGAGGTAGTCGTAAACCAAGGAGGGTAAAACAGGACATTATCGTTGTATCGGAAAAACACCGTGTCAGTTCCTTGGGGCTTCCATAAAAAATTGCCACAATTGAGTGATCTAAAACAAAAGAAATTTATTATTTTGCCGTTTTGGGGGCCAGAATTTCAAAATCAAGGTGCGTCAGCAGGACTGTGATCCCTAGGAACCTGGAGGAGAAGACCCTTCCTTACCTCCTTCAGGTGCGGATGGCTCCAGGCGTCCACTGGCTGTAGATGCAGAACTCCAATCTCTGCCTCCATCTTCATGTGGCCTTCTCTGTGCCTCTCTCCTCTTCTGTCTCTTATGAGGACACTTGTCTTTGGCTTTAAGACAGTCTCATCTGAATATCTGTAACTTCATTACATCTACAAAAACCCTTTTCCAATAAGGATTCTCAGTTTCTAGGGATTTGATGTGGACCTATATTTTTGAGGAGAGGTGCCCCATTCTACCTACTACAAATATGAAAGCATTTTCCACTTCTATACTAAGTGAACATGGCTCTGCAGTTTTTAAAATATTGATTATAGGATTACGTTTCTGTTTTAAGTATTAAACTTTGTAGTTAGATGTTACTGCTACATAACGTTACATCTTTTCGATGCCAGGAAAAGTTGCATTGGACTGAATTTATAATGTTCTCACTTCATGTATTTACTGTCTGTAGCTCTCATCCTTGTAAAACCATTTTCCAGTTGCCTACAGTGGCTTGGCTGCAGATCAGGGTACCATATAAAAGTCATATGTCCCTTAAGGGACTACTCTTGTATTCGCTTACATCAATCATGGCTTTTCTGAACACTGATTTATACCAGAATTCCCCTCTTCCCCCGTAAATGTATTCAGAATTCATCTCGGAGATACAGATTAAAGTTCTAAAACCCACTTGCTGTTGTGAAACTGATGAGCTATTCATAGAAGCCCCTTGATCAGAGCAAAAGATGCAGTGAAATATGCACAGAAAATCATTCTCAAAATGATGCCTGTCAGTAATTGACATCCAGATTTCTCAGTTATTGACATATAAAAAGGGGCATGTCAGAAATATTTGCGTAGATAATGAACATTGTTTATATTTATAAATTTTAAATTTGTTTATGTATTTAATAAGTCATTCAAAATGAATCCATGTTGCCTACACAGATGAACTCTGCACGATCTTTTCGGCACATCATGTCTATGAACACCCCTTTCTACTGGGGTCATTTTCTAAAATGAGTTTGTAGAGAATTTTCAACCTGTGTAATCAGTTGGTGGTAAAGTGTTATAATTTTTAAATTACTAAATTTAAACCATAATAATCAACCGAAAGGAACTGTTCATATGATATGTCCAAAAGAAGGTATATATTTATCTTCTTTATAATGAAAAAGGAAAAAGTTATTTCTTAATCTACCTTAGAAAGTCTACTTGAAACTCTTCAGACTTGTATTTTAAAATTGGGTAGAAATGTATGTAGAAACTATTGTAAGGAATAAGTATAATAGGCCGAGCTTTGTAAAAATAGAGATGTTCTTTTGAAAATTACTGGACAGTATCCATTTATAGCAGGCTAATACCTGTGAATCCAAAGAGGTATCCATACACCAAATGGATTAAAGTTAAGACTATCAAAATGGGATCCCTTTTCTCAGTAAGAAATTTCAGGAAGCGCCTCGGAGCCATCATTACCGCCCTAACGCGCCTTCGCGGGTTGTGGTCTAGTGTCCTTGCGTTTCTAACTGATACATCACTCCTGTGTGTTCTCTTTTTTACAGTTCAGCAGAAGAACAGTTTCACTGGCAATCGCAAGGTAAAGTATGGCTTTTAATGAACCCTTACGCTTACTTCTACATGTATCTCTACTGACTAATTTTCTTCCGAACTTCAGGAAGAGACTTGTGAAAATGAATATGACAATACCTTGAGACTAAAATTCAATGAAGTCGTTGGCGATAGCTCACCATTTCATAGGAGTTGAGTTGTCACAATTCCCTAGTTTACTTTATGTCCTTCATAGATGCATGGAATTGACTGGTCTTAGCTTTCAATACTGGTTGGCCGGGGAATACTTCATAGAGGGAATATCTTTGGTTAGGACACTCTTGATTTTTAAATGATAGCCTTCAACTTCAATATTAATATTATCGAGATTTCGTTCATGACTTTAAAATATTGTATTTCAGATGGTCAAAAAGATATCGAAGATGAACTCACGACAGGTCTTGAGCTGGTGGACTCCTGCATTAGATCACTGCAAGAATCAGGAATACTTGACCCACAGGGTTATTCAACGAGTGAAAGTAAGTCGAGTCAAACGGCAATCTTGAAGACCGAATATAAGGGTATTATGTCATTATTTTTGCTAATATAACTACTATCACGAGACATATGTAATAGGACCTCAAGATGTGTTTATACTTCTTTTATCCATTTCACTCTACGCTCATGTATTTCATTCCCACATTACTTCACCCCAACCCTCATTAGATTACAAACTCTCTTAAGACACTTATTGGCTTCTAGATTTTTCACCAATCGTAATTGGTGATTCTCACTTAGCCGATATCCTTTTGGGCATCTAGACCAGCACATTGTAGAAACTCATCCTATATGTGTTTAATCAACACAGGGTCTGTTTTAACATTAATTGATAATGTGTTACTCCTACAGATCATTATGGGTAGAGATTTTGAACAGTACGGCGATTATATAACAAAATGGAAAAAATTTACGTAACATACGCAGTATTATTTAGTGCTATGCTATAGTACTTTGCAATAACTTCTTACATTTCTACATTTAGCTATCTTACATTGCAATATTAATCTCAATAAAGAATTTAAAGATTTCTTTACCTCCATGTAATTACATATTTTTCAACTAGAGTGGTTGAGACTTAAAACTAAAGTTCTATGGGTTGAAACGAGCCTCACTTAATAAATCATAGGCTTCTCTTGACTTATTTTAATAAAGTCCCACAAAAAGCTAAAAATTAAATCATGAAAACATGTATTACCTTGATAATTTCTACATTAGAAATCAGTGGAGCATTTTGTTCCTTAATTTAAAAAATATGTAATTTCCTTGAATACTCCTCAAGGTTTTCTATAGAAAAGGAAGATATAAAAATAAAATAGTAAACTGATCTTGGAAATGTTTAATTTACTTATTAGTTCATTTTCTCTATAATCTTTATAATTCTACTGTTAGGATAGTATAATTAGTGTAGTATAATTTTTCTATTAGGATAGCATATGCATCATACTGAATATTCAGATAGATTTAAACCCATATGCATCTTTCCAGTAGAACTCCTATAAGTAAGATACGGGTATGTATGATCCTCGTTCTCTGGATTTTATATTTTACAATGTAGGATTGTTACCTCTTCTCTTTGGGTCAATAAATATATTTGTCTCGTAGAGGTAGTTGTCGTTAGAACTATATTTAATTAACATTTGAGGTACATATACTCTGTTTATTAGAGAGTACTAAAGCAGAGATAAAATAGTTTATCTTGGTAGGGAGGATAATATTGGATATCTCATTTTTCAGCATAATAATAGAGAAACACTCTTCGATTATGAGTTTAGTTGGGGGGGAATAACCTTTAATACGTGAAAAGTATAGAAAAAAGAAGGGAGAATAAAAAGAGGCAAACAAATTAAAAAGAGATATCAACTCAACGAACCTATCAGCACACTGAATTCTCCTTTGAAAATAAAAATTCAGGTTTGTAGTAAACAGAGAACATAGTAATGTGATGTTTATGAGACACACTAATATTAATGAAGTAAATGTTGAAATTAAAGGAATAGACACAGTAGTGGCAGCAAATACAAAGAACACAGAGAGCAAGATTCAGAAGAAAATGTGAGATGGAATGAAATTTCATGCAGAAGCACCAAGCAGGGTTGAAGAGGACTTATGTAGTGGAAACTTATAAAGATGAGATAAATTCATACTGAAATCTAGTGAGCATGCATGCACCAAATCTAGCACCTGAATGTCAGAACAAAAATGAAAGCTTGAAAATATTAAAAATGAAAAGTTGGTGAAAAATGTTGTGACTATTTCCATGTATATTTTTCAGAATCAGACTGAATAGCTGAAGAAAAAGCCACAGAAATTTGGAATAAATTATTAGAAAAATTAATGCATTAAATTAATTTTAAAAGTTGTATTTGTTGAATGATAACATACATTTGTTATATATGTCCAAGGAATATTTACAATAATTGATCAGCTATTTTAGACAATTCTAAAAATTAAAATGTATAGAAAGGCACTGTCTTTGATTACAACCCAGTAAACTTAAAAGTAAATAATCAAAAAGGAAAAATACAATCACGTTAATTAAGAAACAGATTTTTGATCTACTGAATCAAAATCGGTAACTGCTGAGTTTTGTTTTTTTTCAGAAAGATTAGTTATGTTACTATGTACTGAATTATCTGTCTGAAGACTTCTAGGATTTTAGTTAAATATTCTTTTTGTAAACCCATGCTTTCTCGTTTGAAGATAAGAGAGGATATAAAGCAAAATAAACAATAATACACACACACACACACACACACACACACACACACACACACACGTGATGAAAGCACCACCCAAAAGTTTTATGCCACAGGATATGAATCACAGTGAAATGTAAAATATTGTCATTCTTAAGAAACATTTATTTGTTCTTAACATTTTCAGAGTCACTTTGAGGCTGAACTAATTGAGTAAAATTTAAGAAATTAATTTGTAAACTATCGAATAGATAATAACTCTCATTTGGGGGAATCACGAATTGCTCATTTTAAGTACTTGTAAAATAGAAATGCCAGTTGCTGTTTGTATCTATATCAGAGTTCAGGTGGGAAATAGAGTTTACTCAAATGAGTTTAACTGGAGAGAATTTAATTAAGGTACTATTTACAAAGGCGTGGGCAAGATGAAGGAAATAGGACTGGGTGCCTGCTGAGGTACTCAGGTAGTAGCGACAGACAGAAGTCCTTGTCACCCTTAGTCCTGAAGGAAGCCTGCAGGGACACGTACCAGCAGAATCAGGAGGCGTGGCAGGAGCTCCAAAGGAATAGTATCCTAACCTCTGTCTCTTCCCCATCTTCTCATTTGCCTCCCACTGGCCAAATTCCAAGGGAATCTCATGATCAGTCTTTTTGGAGAAAAGGGCAGAGAATGAATATGAGGAGCAAAGAGAATAATCAGCTGAACATTCTACGAGCCACTGGAACAGTCTACCGTGTTTATATTCTTGATAAATAAACAGCGTATAGACACATAGTGGCTATTTGACACAGTTCATGTAATTAGCGCAAGCCCATCAGATTCTGCTAGTCCCTTGATTTTGTGGTTCTTCGATCAATGGATTCATTAGCTAGAACAGACATGAAATAGCTAACGTTAAATTGCACCTGGCATGCCGCCCTTGAGAGCCAGTCTCTTAGTCCTGACTCAAAAGAGACTAACAAAACCCTAACTGCAGTCTAAAACCAGCTTGAGAATGTTCTAAATGGCCACCAATATCAGCCCCTGAGCCCACAGTACTTAATTTGTTGTGTTTAAAAGCTTTTGTTATTTTTCTTTCCAAGGTGTGATTAAAATAAAATTTGAATCTTAGCGAACCCATCTTCTTGACCCTAAAGCTGGCAATGATTATAATGTACAGTTAACCAGAGTTTTCAAGACTTGGTATTTTTTAGAAAGTGCCATCCTAAATAGTATGTAGATCATGCATCCAACCTTTGCCACCCACCACTATTTTGTGACTGCCAGCTGTGTAATCTCAATTCTAACAAATACATGTCACAGAGTCACTAGGAGAATTGCTGTTGCTTCGCTGGGAAAAAAAAAAATTACTGACAGAAGCTCGGGGCCATTAGCATGTCACAAAACGAACAGCTTGACCCAAACTGCTATGGACCAAGTACTTATTTTAATCCATGCATCCTTGGAGATATAAACTCAGAGATAAGGGCGATTATATCTTAGCCAAAAATATTTGTCAGTCAGAATCAGAATTAGAATGGAAAACTTGGGAGAAAAGGACTTATGTATTTATAGAGATCGTTAATTTGTTTAAATATCATATTTTGAAATAGTAATCATCTGCTTCTGTAGCATATGAACAAATTAAATTTCTACCATATTCTAGAAAATACTAGGAAGAAAATCTTAGACGCTTAATACATCCTGAATGTTATGGCAAAGAAAGGAATGTTATCTTATCCTGAGTTTCCAAATCTGAATATATTCAAAAAACCAAGTATCAGTCATATAAGGTACCATTCTGAGCACGTGAAATCCAAACAGAGTAATTTTATGTAGTTTAACAGAGGTGAATGTATTATTTACTGTTGATTTACAGTTAGTCCGTTTCATTCAGTTACTGTGAATATAGTTAATTCTGTGTGGAGGGAGGTTCATTGAGAGGTCGGATTATTAAAATGCTTCAAAATTAATTCCATATATTTTATGCAATAATAATAAAGGTGAGAGACATCCTCGTGAAGTAAATATTTCCATAATTCCTGGTACGCATGGCACCAAAGGATGCAGAAGTGGTTCAGGAGTGTAAGGTTTTTATAATCATTAAACAAATCAAAATGAGAAACATATTAATCGTGTGGCTGACAATATTGGTGTCATGCTCTGGGAAAGAGGACAGATTTGTTTGATTTTCTGTTATGGGGGCAACCAGGTCCTTAGTCAGACCAGACGAAGTGAAGAGCCTCTGGGTGGGGTCACAAGGTAGACCACCCTGCCATTGGAGCCAGAAGCCCTGGATTCAAGTCCTACTGCTTCCCTCACTCCACCAGTGATTGAGGACTGTCACCTGGACTCTGGAGACCCCAAGGCCTTTCCTGGAAAGACATTTATTCAAATTACTTGAGTTTATCCTCATTGTTGGTTCTCTGTGAAATCGCTTCATCACATGCCTTTTGATCCAAGTTTTGAAATACAAATGAGAAAGTCTCCTTTCCAGAAGTTTATCATGGTTCCAAGTCTAAAATTGTCTTTAAATACCAAATGCATCCATTTGTTTCCTTTCCAAATTCACTCATACCACCTCCACACTGCCTTTGGTGTTGTGGATCTAACGGGAAGTTAGCAGTGGCAGAAACGGAAGATGCGAGCAGAAGTCAAGGGAAAATGCCCAGGTGTCACACAGGGCATAGTACTGTCCCTCCAGGGAGCCATAATTATCTTTCCTACCAGATACTGTCTCTACCTATTTTTCAGCTGATATTCAATTTATTTTTCTTTGATTTCCTTCGATCACATAGACGTT